AGTGCCTCAGTAAAAGCTTGAAGTGGACGGTCATTTTCTCACTTTGCAATTTGGTGATGTAAATGAGATCACAAAAGGCGAGAGATTAGACTACCTTTATCGTTGTAAGTTGAAACAGCTGTGGTGCCACTCACAACCAAATTGCCAGGCAGTTAAATGGGAGGACCAGCTGCGTACAAAGAGATAGCTTCATTTGAGAGACAAACGAACTTGTACTTCTCATGACCCCCACATACACTAAAACAAATGCACACATAAAATATGCATGTGTGTGTGCCCTAAACAGTCACACCCTCACAGACCACGCATGTGCTATTACCTACCTGAGCCTCTGATGAGGGAGTGTCAGAGGTGTTATTAGGGTGATACAGTGGACAGAACAATAAACTTCAAAGTGAACACCCATGTCAGCGCGTTATAGCATGTGCAGAGGCCACACAGTGTGCACAGGGATGCATTAAAAAAGAAGCTGCACCTCCAGGGGGAGGAATCAGTGGCAGAGTCATAAAACTGAAGATGCATGGCCACTGTAAAGTATATGAGGGATTTTCACACTGAAAACAACTGCAAGGCATTATTACACGCTATAGCAACAGCAACCAAATCCACATCCACATGGTGCAGCCACATTGGCCACCTGAACATCATTTATCTTGATGTGTTTATGGCCCCATGAACAATTTACAGCAGAGTTTGCTATAGGTAAAGCTCCTCGGCTTGTGTGATATCTGTTATTTTGCTCCTTTCCTTTTTAAACATTTGGAGAAAAGCCCAGTTAGGCTTGTGAAAACCTCTCATATCAACACAGACAATGTTTTGCACAAGGGAGTTCATTTTGAATATACCTGTCTCGGGATAAGAGTTAGTTTCTGTAAAGAAAGTATGACTGCGTGACTGCTGACCGCCTGGCCCTCTTAATCCTGCACAATGACTCCCTGAGGCCCACACTGCTGGAATAGGTGACCCAGCAGATGCCTGCCCAGCTAGGTCCTTCTGATCTTACTGCCCTGAGGTTTACAGTCTTTAACACCCCTTTCAAGCTTCAAGTCATTTTGTACTAAAGAATCCAACCAAACCCTACCTCCAGATAAACACTGCACTCTGTGTGAAACTGGAACTTCAAAAGATACTGTAAATGGCTGCTTTTGAGGAAAATAAGCATTCCTTCAAATCTCTTGACACTACTCAGAACTTTTTGTATTTTTATGATAAGATTAGAGAATAATCCTGTCTACTGTCTAACACAGAGTGGAGTGGTTACTTTAGGGCAGATGGGAGTTGATACAGCAAGTTTCGAAAGTTACTTAAAGTTCACCTAAACACTGTAAGTTGTTCAGATGTATTAACATTCCTTCATAGATAATCAGAGCAGTGAGTGGGAGGTATCTCCAGGCTGTGTCAAAACCGGTGAAAACAAGGAAGTCTACAGTGAGTATAGGTTACAGCGAATGACAGAAAATAAAGAAAAAACATTCAGTTATTTAAATAAAAAAAAAAAAATCTTTTGGTAGCTTTAAAACAGTTTGCTGGTTGGTTCAGGCTTGGTGAAAAGATCCAAGATCCCTGATTTGAAGTAGAGATGGAAAACTGAAGGTTTATAGACCCACAGTGTTAAAACCAGGAGTGTTTGTATCACTCAGTGTTCCTCTCTGTGTACCAGAGGTAAAGAGAGGCAATTCGTCGCCGATTGCTTGACGTAGTCTCTTGGCGATAGGAACAGAGAAGCTGTTAGGTAACATCTCTTTGCTTCCAACGTCCTTGTCTGTTTCATCTGACTCTATTTAACACGCACATGCACACACGCACACGCACACGCACACACACACACACACACACACACAAGATCTCAGACAGTCATTCTACACATTTTTCAGAAACTTGCTTCTTAGCAACCCCCAACACACTAATCTGCTGTACTCTCTTTGTGGGTAGGCTGAATTATGCTGCAATACAATCTAATTTTTTCCCCGTGCTTGAGGTGCCCTGTTTACGGCTTAGCATGTGTGATTGAATAGGGTCCTATGTGATCAATAGAGCTCATTAAATGTCCCTGTGGGCATTTGTTTCACCGTGAGGCTCTCTTAGATTGCTTTTACCTGCAGCCTGCTCGGCTTTATTGCTTCAAGTGGTTCCAACTTTGTTTGCAGCATAATTAATTTTATAATTGAATTACTCAAGCCTGGCCATTGCATGCTATTTTCCTAAATGTAGACTGAAGTATCAATTTGGTTCCCTTCAGTATGGACTGGATGCTCGAGATGGGCGGGTGTTACACTGCCTTCTAAAGGCAGGCTAAAGGAAACAGTGGCTGCACCTGTTGTTCCCTGCGGTTGCTGTGTGGTGGGGTTAGCACCTGCTCACACGGCTGCTGTGTGGCTGTCTGTGTGGGCAGCAGGGATAACAGTGAGACCATTCACACCCGCTTAGACTGCTGTCTGCAGCCCCTCTCCCTCAACGCTCGTTCACACTGAGCTCTCTGCTCCATCATTTATTTTTCTGTCTTTTACACCCTCAGCCTATCCCCCTGCAGCCTATACACCAGATTGCTATCTGCCACACTTTATCCTTTGTATCCCCAGTCTGTCTGTCTGTGTTTCTGTCTCGCCTCCTCCCCCTCCTTCTTCTATTTTTTTTTTTTTTGTCTCCAACCTCTCTTCAACTTACACAGAAACACCAAACATAAACAGCAGCAGCTGGAGCTGTTATAGTCCTTCTGTGGAACTCGATAGCTGTTAGTGTGAAGGATGAAGTTGTAAACAATAAATTACATATAACTACTAAATCACTTCAGTAAGACCTGGGACAGCAGTGAGCATTTAATTTGGGACATGGAGGATATGAGTGTGCGGTGTGGTTATGGGCGATTTAGATGCCTTATTGTAAGTGTGCAAGACACATTTTGGACAAAGCATATATTTTAGAGTTCTCTCTTGAGTTTTCTCTAGTTTTTGTCAGACATCCTTTGGATCTGCACTGGCAACAGCAAATACAGTATGGTGTGCTCTGTGCATTTATCATGCCACTCCTGTTTCTCTATTGTGAGTGAGTAATGACATAATCAATTGACTTTATGGGCTTCCAAATCATCACATGTGACCTTTAACCGGAAGCCCTAAGCAAACATTTAATAAAACATGACGAATTTACACTGGGGAACAATTAAATATAACATCTGAAAGCAATAAGCCTCGTTTTAATCACGACCTATGACACCCGGTCGTGATCTAAATAAGAATGTCAATCAGGCTTTGTGCTAGTCCTTGCATTGCAGTCTTATAATGGGCAAGTATTGTGAGCTATTTTTGCTGAGACATCACTTCAAATCTGTGTGAAAGAACAGGCACTGTAAAATACTATGCAACACGTGAAAGAGCAATGATATGTAACAAAGATATGCACATGGCAGCCAATGCAAATAAAACATCAAACTTGCATCAGACACAAAGAGCAGTTCATGCCAAAAGAGGACCGGGCGATGCCAAACACACCCGGTAGAGTAATAATGCAGCATCGCATTTGGCGGCAGTAATACAATTGCGTACATGCTGTATATACCTGTTCATGCATCCACCCCCCGTCTCCCTCACAGCATATCCATCTCTCAATCTCACCATTTGGCACACTCACCGCACCAGATGGCCAGGTAGGGAGGCGGAGGCAGGTGCCAGTCGCCAACTCGCCCTCTCTGGTCTTTCTTCGTCCTCTCTGTGGAGTAAAGGGTGATGGATGCCACGAGCTCTCGGTATCCAAAGCCTCTCTGAAATAACAGCAGCTCCTTAGCCGCACCTCACCTGTCTCTTCCCTCTATGGTTCCTGCGCGCCGCCGTAGCATCACCGTTTACCGAATGCGTCCAAAACGCCCAGTCAACTACAAAACGTTTTTTTTTTTTTTCTCCTGGAGAAAAGGAGTCCGTAGTCTAAATGTGTAAACGGTAACCTATTGAGGTTCAATGTCATCCAGATTACGTTTTCTTTCCCGGTAGCCTTATTCGGACCCTTTCAAAATCCCAAATCCTGCAATTGCGGACTGTAATAAGTCTTCTGTCAGCGGGACCGACCAGTTGTCTTCACTTGGTCGAGCCACGGCTGTGAAATTAGTAGTCAGCAAAATGTAATCCCCTTTTTAAATTTACAGTGGCGAGGTGAAATGTCCAACGCGGAGCAGTCACAGTGACAGCAGGGGCCCATAATTCACACCCCCTGAAACACAGTCCTGCAGTGGATCAATGATGAATGGACGGCCTCTCTCTCTCTCTCTCTCTCTCTCTCTCTCTCTCTCTCACACACACACACACACACACACACACACACACATTCTGTTCTTTGTCAGCTAATATTGAAATAAGCTTCTGTTTGATTATGTTCAGGAAAGTTGTAGGTTAAAGGGCTTAAAAAAAGCTGCGGGAGTAATACATTTATAGGCACAATTTTGTAGAAAAAATAAGACTAGATAAATAAAAATTACTTTATCGCTAGTATAATGATATAGCTGACATAACATGCTTTATTATATTAAAATGGAATACAAAGATAAAGATAAAAAAAAATACCAGCACCATTTAGGGAAATTATCAAACACTGAATTAAATTGGATAAACTGGAGGTGTTACAATTCACCCGCGTTACAACCATCCCCGGTCTCCCCTACATGCTGTATAATTAATTTTATGTTTAACTTCAAGTTTCCCATGTTGGATTGAATTCTTTGTCTTTATTTTTTATTTTGTTCTTGGGTTTTATAATATTTTTGTTAATAAGTGCGTTATGTTGTAGAGTAGGATGCCCGAATCCTATCAAATTAATTGATAAAAACAACAAATCAGAAAAGCTTAATTGACGTACTATAAATATTATGGTACTAGCTATAATAACATTTAAGGAAATAAAACTGTGAAATGTTTAAATTGTTTCCCCCTCTGTTTTAACCGTGTATAAATGTAATTATTTAGTCAAGGCGCATTGTAATAAAGTTTTGAAAAAGCCCTTACGTCACTTCCGGGTTTAATCGGACAGTAGTAGGGGGAAAAAATGGTTGCAATGAATTTCAGCTAGCTAGCCACCGACAGCTGCCAGTACATTTGAGTAAAACCATCCATGTCAAGGCACAAGAAGGATTTTCGGAATCTTGTGCTGCTTCTGTGTACGTACAGGGACAGACTAGCCTGCCTGCCAACCTACTGTGAATCGGTAAGTGACTAGCTTTGACGCTAGCGAGGTAGCGAGCTAGCTGCCGCCGCTAGCTGGTTCCCTTCCCTAAGTGATGCTATTTTGACTGTCGGCTGGCATTAACCTGTTCACGGGGTAGGTACTGTCTAATAACAGCAGGCACGTGTCGCTTATCTACTCTTCCAGGTGTATGTATGGCATGTCAACATGCTGCTCCCGTTATGTGCTCACATCACTGGCTAACGTTAGAGGTGAATATCGTTTTTACCAGTGTAGCCACCATTAGCATATCAGTCGCTCCCTTTCGCTCTGTGTCTGGGTTGAGGGGGGTGTTTTAATTAGTCACCAGTGTCCATGATCCCAGCAGGGCATTTGAATCAGTACTTGCTTAAATGCACATAGCTTCTGCCCTAATAAACGCTGCTTGATTGCAGGAACTGTAACTTGATGACAATAACAAGTGGCGTGTGGTTGGGGTTGTCCTTTGTCTTTGAATCAGTTATGGATTCCTCATTGCTGTGACGCTAGGTTACTATTTACCTTTTTCCCATTGTAAACTATATTTTTTTAAAGCAAGAATGATAGCTTGGGCTTACCAGCACATAAAAGCTCGAATGAGAAACATTAAAAGACCGGGGCAACTAAGTAAGCATGCATGTGTGACAATACGTTGTCATGTACAGTATATTTCCACATGATGTGAAGCCATTTTAATGTGTCATCATTTCTTTTTTATCAAGATCCAGCTGGCTCAGTGACCAGACAAGAAAACCTTGGCACCCTTGTGTGCCAGTTCATTTCAAGACCCAGGGATTTCTGAATCCAGGTATATTCATTACAGGGTATATGTGCAGGGTTTCTCCCAGGAAATTGGTTAGTGGAGGCGGTAAGGGCTGTTTATCTCTACTTTTTCTAACCTGTAAAAACACGTTTCTTTTTCTTGATTTTGCAATGTTCTCCTCTGACAAATAACTGAAACAAACGTAGGATCTTAATCATCTGCTGATCGTGATGCATCACATCTCATAATCAGTGTGGATTGCGGATGACGATTTAAACATTCGCCTTGTTAATGAAACATGTGGCCTTTGCTTAATGATGTAGTGCAATATTTGATTCTGACGACAGTGGAGATGCGCGTTATTTCAGGCAAGGCGAGGTGCCTCCACTATAAAAAACTGAGTGAAACCCTGCTGTTAATCAGAGGTGAAAGGCTTTGCTTCTTGCATGCTGTTCTTATTCTGTTATTCTACCACCTAATACTCCGTCTGCCATGTTTATTTTTCTACCAGAAGATGAACGGTCTGTCCATACGAGAGCTATGCTGCCTGTTCTGCTGCCCCCCTTGCCCCAGCCGCATTGCAGCCAAACTGGCTTTCCTCCCTCCAGAGCCCACCTACACCCTTCTCCCTGACCCAGATCCAGGTTCTGGAGCTGGAACTGCTTCTGGGTCCAGCTCCGGGGCTGCTCCGCCTTCTCTTGGAGCCCCAGGACTGCGTTCCCGGCTGGGCACTGGTAGTGGAAATGACAGAGGAGGCGGAGGCGGAGGCGGTGGTGGAGCAGGAGCAGGAGCAGGAGCAGTGGCAGGGGGTGGCAGCGGCGGCGTTGGGGCTGAGGGCAGGTGGAAACTTCATCTCACAGAGAGGGCTGAGTTCCAGTATTCACAGAGGGAGCTGGATGTGACGGATGTATTCCTGACCAGATCTAGCCGAGGGAACAGGGTGGGATGCATGTACATTCGCTGTGCCCCCAATGCCAGGTGCGAAACACACCAGCCCCTGAACACCTTGAGACTGAACCTGCCTGCACACACAGATCACAACCCTGTATCTCTGTGTTTTGCTTATGCTTTAAATAGGGCAGCATGCCTGTCTTTTGTTGGAACCAAATACAAATATATTTTTCTCAGCCATGCAATTATATCCCATGTTTTTCCATCAACTCGGGGCTTCCCAGTTCACCAGATTCCCTGCTTAGTCTCAGCCTGCTGCATAACATCCTTCTTCTTTCTTCTTCCTCCTTTATCTCTCAGGTTTACAGTGTTGTTTTCCCATGGCAATGCAGTAGACCTGGGCCAGATGAGCAGCTTCTACATCGGCTTAGGCACACGCATCAACTGCAACATCTTTTCCTATGATTACTCAGGCTACGGTGTTAGCACTGGCAAGCCCTCTGAGAAAAACCTTTACGCTGACATTGATGCTGCCTGGCATGCCCTGCGCTCCCGGTAAGCAGGCAGAAACTGCCCGTTCCCATTCACGCAGGGTCCGAAATCAACAGCCAGCAATCACCAAATGCCAGTTGAAATGTGTTTGGTAGATAAACCAGTGAGAGTCGCATAGATCTCTGGCCAGTAACTTTTTGTGAAAAGAACATTTGGTTGGCTCATTTATATACAGACTTTTTCCCTGCTGACCGCAGTGGCCTGTCTCTGACCATCGGCCAGTCAAATCAAAGCTAAACAATGGCGCTCTATCAACCAGGCTGATGATTGGCTGTTTTATACTGTGCTCTAAAATCATGAAAGACTTTCCTCTTGTTTATCTGCTGCCAGCATGGTTAATGAGCCCAATATTAACAGAAACGTACATTACCAGGTGGCAAAACAAATGGAACTTTGAAGCCACTGAAAAGTTAAGACTCAAGACAACATTTATGTTTAAAAAAAAAAATCAGGATTTACTCACAGTCCCTGATGCTGGTCTTAAGATAGCATTTAAACTGGAAGGATAAGGGCAAGTGAGCCTTGTCTATTATTAACAGGAAACACAGGGGTTGCTCGTGTGTTGGATGGAAAGGGTTACTGAACCATGTTAATCTGCATATGGAAATATACATACTTCTCATACTTGCGGGATAAAAAGGGGCTCTTATTCTGAGATTGTGTGTGTGTGTGTGTGTGTGTGTGTGTGTTGTTTCAGGTACGGCATCAGCCCTGAGAATATCATCCTATACGGACAGAGCATCGGCACGGTGCCCACAGTAGACTTGGCATCACGGTTTGAGTGTGCGGCTGTGGTCCTCCACTCTCCTCTCACCTCTGGCATGAGAGTGGCCTTTCCTGACACCAAGAAAACCTACTGCTTTGATGCCTTCCCTAAGTAAGTTCCTCGACAGAAAACCTACGTTAGCTGTATTTTGGTTTTTTTTTTTTTTTTTTAATTAAAGTGACCTTTTACTCAAAATGTATCCTTAGTATCAAGTACTCATACCATTCTAAACTCTAAAGGTGTCTGTAAAAAGAACAAGCTTGAATTGTTTACCTAGTTATTTACATGAAACTCTGAATCTTACGCATTATCACTCTGGAAAAAGAAGTATGAAAATGTGCATTAAAAATTCACAAACTACTCCTGGGGTATCTGTTTCTGCCCAGTATGTTCCAAAAGCTAATATATTATTCCATTTAAATTCTGATGGCCGTTCTAGCATTATAATGCAATGTGGAACCTGTGTGACAAAGCTAGTCCTTGAGGGTGAAATGCACTTACTGTAAGTCACTTTGAACAAAATGTCTGGTAAATGAGTACGTTTGGGCAATATAATATAAATATCACCATATATTGTGAGACTACGGTCAGGTTTTTTTAATACTTTTTATATCGATTTATTTAACCCTTTAATATATTTATTGTAGTTAGACAACTGTGGCAATGTTTAGCAGGACTGCATGATGGCAATAATGGGCTTTTTGTTTATTTTTTATTTGGCTGTCCATTGGTTGTTACCTTGGCAATAGCTACTCTTCCTGGTGTCCAGATATTTTTGCGGCAGAAAGAACCTTGATTTGCAAGGTATTAAATTAGCTAAATTAGCCAGTTCAAAGAAGAAACTGCACACCTTTTAAGCCAACAGGATCGGGTGATACTCTGATTTTATGTGTAATATCACTTAAATGTATCTCAAACACGTTGACTGAAACGAGCATGGTTATTTGTCATTGTTGGTCAATACTAATGGAAAAATTATCTTGTTTCTTGAATTTTCTAAAATTAGGGCATTAATAGCCTCCATTATTTTTCTTCCAGCATAGAGAAAGTGTCAAAGATCCCGTCTCCAGTGCTCATTATCCACGGTACAGAGGACGAGGTGATCGACTTCTCTCACGGCCTCGCCCTGTTTGAGCGGTGTCCCAAGGCCGTGGAGCCCCTCTGGGTGGAGGGAGCCGGTCACAACGACATTGAGCTTTACAGTCAGTACCTGGAGAGGCTACGGCGCTTCATCAACCAGGACCTGGCTACACAGCATGCCTGAGAAACAAACAACAGCCTCTCTGCGTTTGTTTGAATGAGACGAGCGTGTACGTGCATGTGTGTGGGACTGAGTGAGAAAGCATGTTTGCAAAGTATGGATGAGAAATTTGAGGATGTGTGATTGAAATAATTTTTTTTGGTCACATCTGTGTGTCTTTGAAGCAGCACACCTTTAGGTTACTTTTCAACATGTGTTAAAATAATTTCCTGTTTTTTAAAGGTGAGAAGGCTTTTTAATATATAAACGGCGGTGTCCATCTGTGTGGTGGTGAAACACTAAGAACAAGAACTGAGATAAAACAACTTCAAGTTTTACAAGTCACCTGGGAAAACTTTTGAATTGCAGCTTTAAAATGTGACACTCACATGAATTTAGAAGTAACAACAATGTACTTTGTCCAAAAAGGCACACAGATGTAATTTTTAAGTATGACATGTTAGTGAATGTATGAGTCATGGGTGTATGTGTTTCTTAAAATCTCCATGGACCCGTGACACCTGAATATGTATGTGTGCAAGAGTTTGTGAGCCAGGCAGTGCTGAAAGAAATGAAGGACATCCTAATGACCTGGGACAGCTGCAAGTGGAGAAGGCTTATGGAGACTTATCAATATTGATGTTTAGTTTTTGTCCTTTTTATTTTTTTGGTGCGTGTATGTATGAAGAATACCTCCACAGCTTGACCAGTTCTCTTTCCAGTGAACAACACTGGTCAAGCATGTGTGCCCTCTATCCATGTTTACCTGTTACCAGATATCCATCTGACTGCCAGGGCATTTCCCAAGTTGTCCAGCTAACACTAACCTACTTTATTTGTGTGATTTGGGGCTCCATCACCTTTCCTTCTGTGTCGGTTATGGTGGATACACAAGGACTAGCCTGGAATACGGTCATTGCTTGTATGGCTGGCGGGTGTCTCATATTTTCCTCTTCCTCATTTTTGACTCTGATAAGATCACAGGACGGCCAGCAACCACTTCATTTCCTGGCTGTGCTGTAGATTTAGCCTTTTACTGTTCGCAAAACTGCAGTGGGAACGCACAGGAAATTGTTTTGATTCACCTGTATTGCTTTTTCCCCACAGTCTGACATTTTATACTTGCGATCAAGAATGATTGTGGTTGAAGTAGAAACAGGTATTTGAGGGCCGCACTGAGAATATGTAACGTGTTTATTTGGACATGTTTCTGGCATTAACAGAACAGTTATAAAAGTGCAGGTTTACTCTATACTTTTCATGTCACATT